AATTGAGGTTTCTTGACTCTGCGGTAATGTTGAGTCTTGGAGACAAATTCCATTTGAGGTGCCATTTTTGTGTGTGGTGTTTTTGAGATGTGTTTCTCTTGGAAGTTGTAATGGGAATGATGTCCAACTACTGCCTTGATCAACCTTTTATACCCCTGAAAACTAGGTTGTTTGGAAATGCTTACTGCCATCAATGCATGGTGATAACAACCCCTAAATTATTTACCTGGTTGTTGGAAAATTCTAGTTGAAAGCCTGTGTTTCAGATCGTGGGAACGTTGAGCAGATGGATAATAGTACGTGGTGAGAGTGTGTAACGGATGAGGCCAGTGTTTACAAAAACTTGTTGTTGTTTTGTACTATCCTGTAAGATGTTGAAAGGAAATGTAGCAACAACTGTTCTCTTAGAAGTGTGGGAATTTCTGAAAGCATTGTCTTTGGTTTTCTTTATTGGTTTAAGATTTCAGGACAATGATCGCTGCCCGTCAATTATGTGTGGGTTGTTATGAAGGAATACTGTTTTAAACCTACTCCTTGGTTTATTATTTATAATTTTATAGGTTATACCAATTAGTTGGGCTATCCTCCATGAATGAAATTTCATTCTAAAATTCTTAGCAAGAATGAAGATATTCGTAGTATAATTCACTTCTATGAATTTAAATGACACTGAAGAACCCTATGTAAGATTAATGTTTTCATGCATGTATTATCTCCAATGCAAAGAATCGAATAAAAATTCGATAGTACTGACTGAGGCCATACTTCATTTCGGTCGATGTGTGTAGATAGTCTTGATGTAAAAATACAAATTATAACGTATCTTTCTGAACCTCGCATCTGTAGTGAAATTTTATAACTATTATTGGCGTTAGCGAAAGATATAGGTGAAATTAGAACACATATTTTTTCATGTAAAAATTAAAACTAATTTCAATCTCTTCATATCTGTAGGAAAGGCATAAAGATATATTTATTAGCAGTTATCGATAATTATCGGTAATTCAAAATAGCACTACTGACGATCCTGGTTTATTTTTTGTGTATTAAAGTTAAGATATATTCCCTCTTGAAATTGACACTGAAGATCAATATATCAACATCTTGTTATGAAATTAATTTTATTGTATGTTAATATCTAAAATTGCCCCCAGCATCAATAAAAATAATAACAAATACGATTTTGTTTTATAAATATGTATTTTTATATATTTAGAATATAATTGCGAATTTGTTTAACAAATTGTAAAGCTTTTTAAAATTTCTTTTTCAATTCTTAGTCGTATCTTAAATCTAATTGTTTGATTATCACAGTTGAGTAGTTGATGTATATCACAGCTCGCAGTTGTCGAATATTGCAGTTCCTATTCTTGAATATGTTCCCAAAGGTAGTTGGTTTCAAATATCTACCATGGACGCCAGACAGGAGTAGATGGAGCTGGTGATGCGGCTGGTGAAATATCCTCATCACTGTGATAACCGGATGATGCAGGAGACATGGGTGCTGAGCAGATTTCTTCAGTTTGAACTGGGGTAGTAGCTTCTGATAAACGATTGTATTCACATCCCAAGTGAATCATAACAGCTTTGCCCAATTGGACATTCATGCCAGGAGTGGCAGCCATTACACGGGAAACTTCATTGACTGCATTCATATAACCATGACGGAATGAATCCATGGGTACAGTGGGAACAACAGGAGCTTTTGGTTTGCGTACTTGGGTCTTGATGAATTTGACGGCAGTTTCCAACATTTCTGCTTTATCCATATGCAAAATGCTGTCATTGCCTTGAAATTCGGCAACCAATTCTTTGAGAGTATCCAAACACTTGTTGATGCGGGCACGTCTTTCACGTTCCAATTGAGGTTTCTTGACTTTAAGGTAATGTTGAGTCTTGGAGACAAATTCCATTTGAGGTGCCATTTTTGTGTGTGGTGTTAGTTTGAGATGTGTTTCTCTGTGAGGTTGTAATGAGAATGATGTCTAACTTTTGCCTCGATCGACCTTTTATACCCCGGAGTTGTCAAACAAGGTTGGTTGGAAAATTTTACTGACACCCGTGCAAAATGAAAACAACCCCTAAATTCTTTAGCTGGTTGTTGGGAAATTCTGGCTGATAGTCTGTGTTCTAGATCGTGGGAACGTTGAACAGATGGATAGTACGTGGTGAGAGTGTGGAACGGATGAGGCCAGTGTTTACAATACTTGTTGTTGTTTTTCTGAGATTCCTTTAAGACAATTGCAGGACTATACAACTGTTGTTGTCTCAGAAGTGTGGGAATGCTGAAAATCGTTGTCATCATAAAAATAATAGATATGATTTTAAGAAGTTGTTTGTCTTTATTGAATATCCTTTAACAATTAAAGACATCTTTTCTTTGAGTTCGGTTAGTATGGGAATTTATAAGATAATTATTTAAGACTAAGGCATATAATTTAATATATCACATAAATTTGTCAGGCTCCCATTGACTGCAGGCATTTGGTTAAGAAAACATTTTATTAATAATGTGCACTTGAGACATGATCCAATTAAAATTTTCGCCCAATAATAATAAAATATATATAACAGACTATATTCCTTTACATATTTTATTACGATTTTTTCAGAGCGTTTTGTTATAAAGCAACTAGAAGTCATTAAATGGTATAGGAACAAATCGAAAACCTTGATCAATAATGGATCGACTACAAATAACCACATTATATGGAACACTAATTTTTTTACTGTAGACAGTGGAGAGACTATTTAATTTGTTTGGAACTGACGTAATTATAGTAGTTGCTTCAGTTCCAATGGGTACTGCAGGGGTTGCCTATTTGTTTTACTATAATGTTACCCATATATTCCCAATAACCTTATTTGTACTAGGTATCATATTATAAGGACTCGAGAATTCGACTGCTGAGCATACATTCCAATATTAGCTTTATACATCCATAATTTAACAATATTAACATTTTCGCCATAAAAATATTGAAAATCAACATCTATGAAGCCCTTCCTCATTTCAATATATAAACCAAACCCTTCCCCAGTTTTGATAAAAATAATAGACATAGAAATTTAGTTTTAAATTGATTTTTTTTTATATTTGAAATATAGTTGTGAATTTGTTTAACAAATTATAAAGCTTTCCAATTTTTTTTAATTCTTAATTTTATCTTAAATCTAAGGAGTTGGTTATCACAGTTGAGTTATTGATAGATATCACAGCATCCAGTTATTGAATATTGCAGTTACAGCTCATGAATATATTTTTCTAATGATAGTTGGTTTCGGTAATCTACCAAGGACGCCATACTGGTGTGGAGGGAGCTGGTGATGCGGCTGGTGAAATATCTTCATCACTGTGATAACCGGATGATGCAGGAGACATGGGTGGTGAACAGATTTTTTCAGTTTGAGCAGGAGTGGGAACCTCTGATAAACGATTGTATTCACAGCCCAGGTGAGTCATAACAGCTTTGCCCAATTGGACATTCATGCCAGGAGTGGCAGCCATAACACGGGAAACTTCGTTGACAGCATTCATATAACCATGACGGAATGAATCCATGGGTACAATGGGAGTAGCAGGAACTTTTGCTTTGCGTACTTGAGTCTTGATGAATTTGACGGCAGTTTCCAACATTTCTGCTTTATCCATATGCAAAATGCTGTCATTGCCTTGAAATTCGGCAACCAATTCTTTGAGGGTATCCAAACACTTGTTGATGCGAGCACGTCTTTCACGTTCCAATTGAGGTTTCTTGACCTTAAGGTAATGTTGAGTCTTGGAGACAAATTCCATTTGAGGTGCCATTTTTGTGTGTGGTGTTTTTGATATGTGTTTCTGTGTGAGGTTGGAATGGGAATGATGTCTAACTACTGCCTCGATCGACCTTTTATACCCCGACAACCAAGGCTGATGGAAATTCTTACTGACACCCATGCAAGGTGATAACAACCCCTAAATTCTGTAGCTGGTTGTTGGGAAATTCTAGTTGCTAGCCTGTGTTTCAGATCGTGGGAACGTTGAGCAGATGGATAATAGTACGTGGTGAGAGTGTGTAACGGATGAGGCCAGTGTTTACAATTCTTTGTCGTTGTTGTTTTTCTGAGATTCCTTTAAGACAATTGCAGGACTATACAACTGTTGTTGTCTTAGAATCGTGGGAATGTCGGTTACGTTTGTCATCATAGAGCCAGCGAGTTATGATTGTTAGAAGTTGGTTATTTAATATCCTTTAAGAATTACACACCTAATCGCATTGGGTTTTGTATGTGTGACAATTAATTTTATGACTAAGGCATTGATCGAAAGGCTATTTTCCTAGATATTTGATTATGAAAGTATTTTTGAAATGACATTCTCATTTGCGATGAAGAGCACATCAGACATACATTAATAAAATATAGAAATTTTAAAATATTCGCCCATTAATAATAACTAAATATAATAATATCGAATATACATTCGGAATTTATTAGAGCGTCAGGTTATGGATCGACTGCAGATTTACATATTTTCGTAATCACATAATCTACAACAATAATTTAGCTACTGCAAATATTGATGCCATTATTGTAATAAATTTGTGTGGACTGATGTCGTTGTTGCTTTAGTTCCGAGAAGTACAATAACAATTTAAAATTTGACTACAGAGAGTTAGTGATACTTCCTAAAATTTTTATTGCACTACAGATGTAGGTATCATACCTTGAAGAGTCGAAATTTAAAATGTCTATGCTGAGCAAGAAATGGACGCTACATTATTGTCTGCATTCGAAATTTAACAAAATAAATATTTATTTCTTGGCATAAAATTATTGATATTGAAATCCAAAATCCAAGAAACCCTTCCCAGTTCAATATTTAAACCTTCCTCGGATTTGATAAAAATAATAGTCATTAAAATTTAGTTTTAAAAATATTTTTTATATATTTTGAATGTAATTGTGAATTTGTTTAACAAATTATAAAGCTTTCAGTTTTTTTAATCCTTAATTTTATCTTAAATCTAAGGGTTTGATTACCACAGTTGAGTAGTTGATGGATATCACAGCACCACAGTTGTCGAATATTGCAGTTAAAGCTCTTAAATATATTTTTTCAATGGTAGTTGATTTCAGTAATCTACCAAGGACGCCATACAGGTTTAGTGGGAGCTGGTGATGCGGCTGGTGAAATATCCTCATCACTGTGATAACCGGATGATGCAGGAGACATGGGTGGTGAACAGATTTCTTCAGTTTGAACTGGAGTGGGGACCTCCGATAAACGGTTGTATTCTGAACCCAAATGAATCATAACAGCTTTGCCCAATTGGACATTCATGCCCGGAGTGGCAGCCATAACTCGGGAAACTTCGTTGACAGCATTCATATAGCCATGACGGAAAGAATCCATTGGTACTGCGGGAGCAACAGGAACTTTTGGTTTGCGTACTTGAGTCTTGATGAATTTGACTGCAGTTTCCAACATTTCTGCTTTATCCATATGCAAAATGTTGTCATTGCCTTGAAATTCGGCAACCAATTCTTTGAGGTTATCCAAACACTTGTTAATGCGAGCACGTCTTTCACGTTCCAATTGAGGTTTCTTGACCTTAAGATAATGTTGAGTCTTGGAGACAAATTCCATTTGAGGAGCCATTTTTGTGTGGTGTTTTTGAGATGTGTTTCTCTGTGAGGTTGTAGTGAGAATGATGTCTATTTGCTGGCAGTATCGACCTTTTATATTCCAAAGTCAAAGGTGGTTGGAAATTCTCTCCGAGTGTCATTGTGCAAGGTTCAAAACAACCCCTAAAATTTGCTGGCTGGTTGATGGGAAAATGTTCGTGCTAGCATGTGTGTTCAGATCGTGGGAACGTTCAGCAGATGGATTATAGAACGTGTAGAGAGTGTGGAACGGCTGAGGTCGATGATGATAATAAGAATTTGTTTTCCATTTCCTTTGATTTGGTATTAATAATTAATGTTATGCTTAGATGCCTGTGAGAATGTATGCACGGTGATGTGGGGTGGGAAGAAAAGCTGCACTGCTTGTTAGCAATTGGAATACTTCGTTTAATTTACGGAGAACAAGGGATTTTTCAAAATCTGATAAATTGGAAGCTCATCCTTCTATTATCCCATGAGAAAAACTTTTGGCATTTTACGGGCATTTGGGCCATATAAAAGTTTTAAGCATCCAGTTTTGTAATAAGTCCTTATCGTCATTATATAAGATATTTTTGTTCTTCTATAAATGTAGAAAATGTTAATACGAAAGCCTTTTTTGGTTTTCTAAAGGCGATTTGTTAGTAAATATACGAAGAACTTTTGATAATCAAGAAGACGATCTCTTTGATCTTCTATAAGAAGATCTGGTTGGTATTTTTGATCCTGTAAGTGTACTTTTTTTATCTTCCATAAGAAGTCGTTTCGTTTTCTATATTAAGCCCTTGAGGTCTTACTTACTTGTTACTTAGCTGGCTTGTGACAGAACATTTGTTCCATAAGCCAAGCTTAAAGAAAAGATTTCCAAACGCGTCGGTTTTGTGCGCTGTCCTCCCAATTAGAAAGGCCATGTTCCGAAATGTTGTCTTCAACATGATCTTTCCACCGAACTTGTGGCTTTTCCTTTCTGCGTTAACCATCAGTTGGTTCGCTTTTATACGCCTTTTTTGAGCTGGGGCATCCTCATCCTTAGAGGTCTTCTATGTGAAAAACTTTAAGTTCGGTCTTCACTATCAATACATTTGAGTTCTTATACATGAAAATCTTTGATGATTTTAATATGAAAACCATAAAGGTCTTCTATAATCAAAATGGTCTATAACCTTTAAAGGAAGTACTTCCACAAGATGATCTCTGATTTTTTTAAGATAGTCTATTCGACTTTCTGCAACGGAACCTTTTGGCCTTCTAAAGGAAAATGTCTTCTATGTGAAGACATTTCTTTTAGTGAACAAAAAAACTCCTAATAGAAGAATAGGAGATTGTTTTTTCATTACAGTATTACTCTATTGATCGTCTATATGAAGACCTCTAGAACCCATATTTTTGCATCCCCATTGACAAATAAAAAATAATCCGATATTTTTCTTTTTAAAAATTAATATATATTTTTTTCTAATTAAAGTAAAAATTTGTTAAACAAATAATAAAGCATCGTTTTTTTTTTGTACTAATTTAAAATCAATAAAAAAAGTTTTCTTAAAATTAAATAATGGCGATCACAGTTGATGTATGTAAAATATTGCAGTCTTTTTTGTTGATTATTCCACTTAAAGCTTTTCAGTTCCATGTGCAGGGTAGATATAGTTTTGTTCTTTGTAGAAAATCTACCAGGGACGCCACAAAGAAGCAGGAGCTGGTGAAGTGGATGGTGAACTTTCTTCATCACTGTGATAACCCGAAGAAGCAGGAGACATTGGAGCAGCCGAATAGATATCACGTTCTTCGCACTTTTGAACAGGTGCAACTGGACTGGCCGACAAACGATTGTAAGCACAACCCAAATGAGTCATAACAGCTTTGCCCAGTTGGACATTTATGCCGGGTGTGGCAGCCATAACACGGGAAACTTCATTGACAGCATTCATATAACCATGACGAAATGAATCCATGGGTACAATGGGAGTAGCAGGAACTTTTGATTTGCGTACCTGGGTCTTCATATAGCTCACAACTGATTCCAACATTTCAGTTTTATCCATGCGCAAGATATTGCCATTGCCTTGTAAATCGGCTACCAAAACTTTGAGGGTATCCAAACATTTGTTGATGCGGGCACGTCTTTCACGTTCCAATTGAGGTTTCTTGACTTTAAGGTAGTGTTGAGTCTTGGAGACGAATTCCATTTGAGGAGCCATTTTTGTGTTGGGTATTTTGTGTATTTTTTGTGATGTGTTCACAAGGAAGGTTGTAATGAGAATGATGTCTGATCGCTCGTACCATTCGGCTTTTATACCCTGACCACAGTTGGTTGGATAATATTACACACGCACATTCACTCACTCACCGAATTGTGGTTGTATCAACCCTTATATTTTTGGAACATCTGTATTCCACCCTGGTGATTTTTGTAACGGCCAGTTGCCACAGAACGTGGGAAAATTTCTTCTCTTGGTAAACATCGCCCGACTGAGAATTGTTGTTGTGATAAGAGTGTGCTAAACGTGAGGACATTGCATGTGGGGTGACACAATCACTTTTGAACATGTGAAATTAAATGATATGGACAGGTTCAAATTTGTTCATTAGTAATATGAGTTGTGATTTAAGCAGTGTTGTCCAAAAGAAAACAGATAAGCCGTAATGAAGGCGATTTAGGAAGAAAGTTTAACACTGTTCAATGTTTTGACATAAAAAAGAGATATGATTCAGTACGAAAATCAATCTGTTTTCTACTTATTCTGCATCATCGACATAAATACATGTAATATGTGTCCATGTTGGAATAAAACCATCTCTGCGCAAATCTCTGCTTATTGCTGACTTTTTACTCATACATGCTACCAATATCCTCCAATCCGTTCCATATCTTTCATTTGAGCTGAAGTTGGTAACAGTTACTCGTTCTTCAGCTTAAATTAAGACAAGTTTTATTCTTATCATGTTATCTTCTTTCCTGGAAGGTTTGAACCTTTTTTCATTACGAAGACATCAGACCTGAAATGGAGATCGTCGTAACTGTTCTACAAAGCCCAAAATCCGTCGTCTGCAAAATCCAGCATAGATAGATTTAGATTTCAACATAGAGATTAAGTCACAATTTTTAAAGTAGTTGTGAAGTGATTTCATGATCACCGTCAGTCTTCTTTCCACAATGTATTCGAAGTGCCTCAAAATTTTAATATCACATCATCATTTGGCTCCGGTATATCATAGATTAATTGTCCCAGCAGTGATCTTTGAGGCACGCCTTTTCAGACATCTCATCAGTTCTTACTCGGAAGACCCGATTTTTAAAGAAACTTGCTATAACGCGACAATTGTGTCTTCTGTGCATCTGCACAGGCTTCCTAGTACTCCTGCTTTTGGGACACTCGTGTCGTGTCTAATCGGTGTTCAGACATCGTCTCATCAACTCTTACTCACAACACTTGATCCTTGAGGAATCCAACTTATTTCATTCACTACTGGATGCCATGTTGCGAAGCCCTTCTGATCTCCTAGCAAAATAAAAATGCGTATCTCCTCACTTAGCGGTAACAATACAGAACGTTTGTTCTATAAGCCGAGCTTAGCAAAGATTTCCAGACGCATCGATCTTGTGTGCAGTTTTTCGAATTTCGAAGACCATGTTTCGATATGTTATCTTCCACTGGATCTTTCCATCTCGGCGATCTCATTCTGCGTGAACACTCAGTAGGTTTTGTCATTGGTTTTGTTTATGGCGGTACCGAGGTAAATTAAATCTCTCACTACATCAAAGCAGTAGTTTTTAAGTTCCACAGTTGGTCTAAGTCCACTGGATCTCTTGCGCGTTGATACCATCAGCCTGGTCTTCTCACCATTTACTGCCAGACGCACTTTGACTCTTCTCAATTTGTTTAAAGGTGCCTATTACCGCTCGCAATGTTCGACCCATTATGTCGAAGTCATCAGGGTAGGCACATAGTTTCATTTCTGGTCAAACAAGAGGCAAATGTGACTCTCGTTTGACCTTTTCCAGTTCGATGTTAAAAAGGTCACACGACAGGTTGTCATCTTCTCTGAACCCTCGCTCGGTATTGAAGGGGTCTGAGAGGTCCTTTCCGACTATAACTGCTGACCTTATGCCAGTTAAAGTTATTCTGCATAGTCGTATTAATTTTGCAGAAATGTCAAACGCAGCCGATTGATTGATATTCTGACCTCATCTTGGCTAGTTGTATACACTCAATACCGTCATCTCTTATTGGTTCTGGGGTATATTGGGTATCCAGATCCTTTAGCACGCAATATAAAAATGTTTTTATTTGTTTAATTCGTCCACACAAAAATGGGACGAATTCTCAAATTTAAGTTTAGTGATATTGATCGCTATATCATTAGAAATTATACATAGGAACACCATTTTAAACCTCCAACCGCGCTATATAGACAATAGATTGCAATTAGGCAAACTCATTAAAAGACTATTCTCGAAAACACTTGCGACACACTCCCGTTTTTAATGGAATTGGTTTTCAAAACTTCCCGCAATGCGGATTTTACAATTTGTCATTACAAATTGTTATTTCCTATATAGTTCGCGGCGGAAGCTCCAAACACGTGCTATAATACGAAAATTATTAATAGAATATATGGAGTAAAACAAAAAGAAAAAACTGCAGCAAACAATAAATTAAAGGTGGGGGTTGACCAACGCCTCACGTGGCAGCTTGATTGGAAATAAACGTGCCATACACGTGGCCGAGGCTTTTTGTGGCACGGTTTTGTGAGCCTCCAAACACAAGGCCAATACACCTGATACAACAAATAGGAACGTACGAAAAGCCTGCAGTCAGAGTGACCAACCTCCTTTATATCTGCCTCCCTCCCCCTACCAAATATACACACACACAAACGAATCACTTAAGAATGATGTATATTTTTAATTAATTATAGATTGGCAGTCAAAATCAAGGGGGCCACAACACGCCGAAACAGCACAAGACCCAGAGTAATAACCTCAAATTCATTGAGCAGAACAGCGAAGAATAGCACAAGACCAGCAACACACACACTCTTGCTGTGGGGTTAGCATAAAGTCCGTCGCACGACTCCCGCAATGCTAAACATAAATCCACACAACAATCTTCTGTAACCTTATAGCACAGCACACCACATACACCCATCGGCGAGCAGAAAGAAGCAGCCAGTCAAACAACACCACTATCAGTAATAACAGCAGCAGCGACAGCATATAACTGCATAAACTGTGAACATCTGTCACCTCCACTTATAAGACCGTGGGATAAAAATTCTCTCGTTCGTCAACGCTGTACAATCTTTACGATGGGAACTGCAACTGCTCATTATGGTTAAGTTTTTTGTTTGTGTGTGCCTTGAATAATGACAGCAGGGTGTAGATTGCACAGAGCCAGCCAGCCAGCAGCAAACCATCCATCCGTCTGTCTGTCCATACATAAACACACAGATGTGTCAGCAATTCATGTGACTGACTACTTGTGTTTCTGAGGCTTGCCGAGCTATTATTTGAGGTTCTTATTTTATGTTTAACAGCAAGGCAACGATTTTCCTATGGCAAAATGCTACTTCGAGTAGTGGCACACAAAGTACGACGACACACAGCACACCGAATAAAGGGCCAAAACATGAATGTTAATAAAAAAAATAAACACTTACAATGTTTAGTGAGTGCACACTTGTAGGGTTGCCATGTCGTGTGTAGAATATGATCTAAGTAGAAATAAGGGAATTCATTAACGATGTACAGTAGATTTTACTTACCTGCACAAATAACACTTGCAATTATTTCTGTGCAGGAAAGTCAAAAGTGGAGACATTTTACATCTCTTACCTGCCTCAACGTTCACGCAAGTGAAATCACTGCATAGAAATGGGACAATGTTACATTTTCTGGAATTCGCTATCAAAGCTAAGTGTCTGATAATGAAACGAAAGGACTACTGTCTTTAACACGTTTATTTATTGCCAATTGCCTTGTGTGTGGTTACCGACGATATGTAAAAAATAACGACTGTTTCTTAATCTGACATTCCCGATGCAGCTAAATGCAAATATGTTAAGTAGTGAGAAGAAGAAGAGCAATCATTCTGAGCTGTTACCTTTAATGTGCAGGTATGAATTGTGCTCTTAAACGAAATATTTGAGTGAGAATTTGAGAAAAAGTAGCAAAGAAGAGTATTTTGGGCAGCTAAATTCAAAGAGCAACAATGTACATGGCAATTAAAGAAAACTTCTGTAGTATGCAACCTTTTGTTTTGGAAAGTTTCAAAAGTCGATTTTTGATATTGGAAACATCAAAAAGGCAATTTTGATCTTGTATCAGAGGTTTTTTTATTTTTCGAGAAATAAACGTTTTTGAAACTTTTTTTAAGTTTACTTGGATTCTAGAGCTTATACATCCATTATATACACAGATCATTTACTAAATTCGTCGCCACAGACCTTGAGATATTCTTCCATAATGGGAATACGAGAATATTCCCCACCGAATACCCATATTGCGGATACGGATCACTAATTACTACAAGTTTCGCTAAACGCTCATAAAATATTACTTTGTCTATAGCCTCTGTGAATCTGCACACACTAGTGAAACTGTAACTCCGATTACAAACACGAATGGACCGATGTGTTGTTAAAAATTACAAATTGCGAAGTTTGTATGAAGTTTCACTCAATTCATATGAGATTCAAAAATCCTTAAAATTGTATTCCATTGTGGGTGAGGTATTAAAAGGGTTGGGCCGAACCAGTAGATCATCCTCAATTTTGCGGATTTGAGGGAAGATTTTACGGATTTGAATAAAATAGGCTGTGTAATGTTTGGTTCACATCGGAATCTCCATTCGCATGATTTTATAAAATTAATTTTCAGCTGGTGGATGTACCAGAAGAACTGGACAGGACATGATCTAAACTAGGAAGAAATCATTTCATCATCAGATAACGAAACGTGCTGCGAACGTATCTTCAGAACCTAAAATTAGGGTAAACAACGCCTGGCCTACTAAGAATGACCACAGCGCTACATTTCCCTACATTAAGACGCCATCTAAAGAAGTACGGATGGAGTACAACAAGGTACTCGTTAGCGCGCATATTAACCGCCCTAGCAATTGGACCAGACCCATCTGCAAGGCCCTACAATATCCGAAATAAAGACCTTTCGCCCAATTAAGGAAGTAGTCTACATGGTAGATAACATCGAACATTTCCTGAAATACTTCCCTTAGGAATTTCAGCTTATCAGATA